AGGCAGCTAACATTTAGTTGGCTTAACTTACATATTTTTTTCCGTGTAGCAGTGGACAGGGAGGTCAGCATTTCTACTGTACCATTATTCGACTGTATGTATTATTTGTACATTTGTGCGTGAATGCAAGCAGAGGCATGTGTATGCGGGTTTGCCTGCTCACAGGCGCTATGGCACCGTACAGCCGCAGAGAGCGCAGGCCAGACCGCCTATACAACGACGTCTTTTCTGTACTGTTGTATGTATGTGTGAATGAGTGTGTGCATGTATGTATGTCGTATGTATGTTATATGCCTGTATGTGTGCGTGTCCGCGTGTCCGCGTGTCCGCGATGAACGAATAATGTGCTCGGTTTCACACAAAATTATACCATTTTCGTCCATGAACATTTTGCTCAAGATAAGGTTGTATCTTTAGCCGAGTGAATTGCTTCTAAACTAGAATGCTTTGTATTCAGAAAAAAAATCTTGTAATTTGTACTTTACATGAATTTTGAGAACAATGTTTGTAATGTATGATAGAAACTTCAATTAATTCTTGATCGTTATGTGTAACTGACAATGCATGTAGAGTAGCTCGATTTTGTCGAATTTGTGCCGTTAAGACAGTATTAGTGATAAATTGCTGATGTAACGACACGACTTCGACGTCGCCTCCGCTGTAAATAACCTGTCAAAGATCGCTGAATCATTTCTAGCTTAAGTATGTTATAAGTCTGCATCCCTAAGATTGTTGTTTACTCTAAGAAACTCATTAGTCATTGTTTAAATACATGTCTTCTTTTCGTTTTGTAAATATCCCAGAATGATACACAATAAATATCATACAGCCCAATAAAACGTGAAAGAAATTGGAGTTGCTTTTTTTCCATCATCGTTGTGCTCGAAAATTTTCCTTCCTGCGGAACAATAAACGATGAATGGGCGTGTTCAACAACCCGACCCGACGGCGCGGCGCGCGCCACTGCCACGCCACGCCTTATTGTGCAAACGTTTGCTTTTGAAGGTGGTTACCTTCCTTTTCGCTTTCAGCAACCTGACCAAAAA